TTTTTTGTTCCACCTCCACCAGTTTGCTTGAGAACTGGACCTATTGGCTCTATTTTTATGAGGACTACTCTCCTGGTAGGCTTAATCCTGTAATTAGATTACAATCCTTGGTCACGTTGCTACTGCCTGTGGTCGATACCTTCCTAACAGCTTCAGCCACACTACAGACTTCTGTACAGTATTTTTCCATCTGTAGGGCCATGTCGTCAACCAATCCTCTTATATTCTCGTCTAAAATATTTTTTTACAATTCTGGAAATATTCTCTTATAGTTCTGGCTTACAAGTCGATACTCTTTACTGAAAAAGCAACGGTGATACACCAGCAAGCGCATACGGTCATTGACAGCCATCTGATTCCTGTTTCAATAGAGGTTGCCCGTTTCAATAGTAGTTCCATGCCTGTTTGAAGTTCCACCAGCTACCTCCTCACTGCCTTCAGGTTCAATACTGTTTCATGCATGGTATTCCCATTTGCGTGCCCTAGCCCTTGCGTTTTTTGGGCAGATTCCTGCTAAACATGAATAATTCGATGGGAACGTTTCAGTTATTTTTTTCTGCGGTACAGGACGGGTGTCAATGATGCAATTCGCGTACGATTGGGTGTTTGTAAAGAGTGATGTTCTTTTTTTAAGTGTCTAGACCTGATTTTTTTACAATGACCCATGAAACTCGTCCAGCTGTCGGAATACAGAGATCTGATCTCTTAGAGAATGCCTTACATCCCTGCAGCCAACTGCCAACCGTTGAACCCGTGTTCCACAGGGGAGTCTGACTTGAGGAAATCTACATCACAAGTAATTAAATTACATTTTTGAGCTCTTTAACCTAGAATGTTTTGGTTGCGCCAGATGGTCTGAAGGAATTCCTTTACCGTACGATTTGACATTTATTTTATGAGTGGCATGGATATTTCAAAGGAAATGTTGCATTGAATTCGATGAGCTCAGGGTTCAGCTGGAGTGAAACTTAGTTTTCCATACTTTGAAATCTCTCCAGTAGCATACATCATGATACATTCAGCGCATAGTATTAAAATGGAAAGCTCGTCCAATTCTATTTTTGGTTCGCCTGGAATTAGGCAGTGGGTAACTACCTAAGTGACAAAAATTTTCAGCAGTACTCCTTGTACTGCATAATTTTAGCCTCGATAAGGGAAAAGTACTAACCAGTTCCAGCGTTCTAGAATTCAATTATAGTAGCTGTCTCGAAAGTAGCCGTATAAAGATGCAAATTCCATTAGTTCCCTCGATTGGTGTATCCCTATCAATAGTTCTAACCGAGCATGACCATTTTCTTCTCGCAAATCTATTTGCACAGTTCACGATAATCTCTGAGGTTTTCCGATGAAATGAACCTGTGGCCCCCAAAGATAGTACAAGGGACGTCGTTGGCCCGAAAAATGGCCAAGATAGGGCATGATAAGGGTCCCAAAGTGGATTGGCCGACAAACACACCCAAAGGAGGGTGAGTTCTGTGGCGTTGTAGAGGCTGTAGAGGTTGCACCATTCGTTTCGGGACGCACACGTTGCACGCAGGCATCTTACTGTAGCCGGCTGCGCGCAATTTCACACACATTCGGACATCTCGTTCAAATACTACTTCCATGCAACTTTTATCGTCACAGTTTCGCTCGAACCCTACTTTTACTACTTCTTCGAATGTCTACAATTCTCTAAATTCTCCGATTTTCTTGTTTTCTACGCCCCTTCTGCCCAATTCTGTACTATCTATCCGCTTCTACTAGGTCGGAAGATAAGTCTTGCAACATTTTGGACAAGCTTTTGAATTTTATTTTTGTTAATTTCATTAATATTGACTTTGTAATTTTGTAATATGATATTTTTGTTAATATTTATATTTTAATAGTTTTACATTTGAAAGGGCTATGGTTCTCTCTTGGAAGAGCATGTTCAAAGTGATGCAGGACTTATCTTCCAGTCTGTTATTCGGCCAGAACTCAGTAGTCAAAACTTATCATCTCGGCCGAAGATAAACAAATAAATAACTAAGTAAATAAATAGATATATACACATTCCTTTTCGAAAAAATCAAACAAAAACTGAATTTTCCATTCTTCGAAATTTCAGGCGAGAGAACCGAAAGGTCATTACACCTTTATTAGGCCTGATGGCAGAACCCTACAGTTTTTTTTCATTTTGAAATATTTTTGAAACTTATAATTTTCATTTCTTCGTTTAGGATCCGGCCCGCCGGGAATACAACCGCCGTTGTCGTTCCATGCTGAACAATGGTATCCAAGTAATCTACCTACAGTGTTTCCACCATGGAAAGAGCCGGGGGTAGACATCGAAACATTTCGAACATTAACGCCACCCTCGACGACGACTTCGTCTCCTGAGTCCACTTCATCGTTAATGACAACGCCTGGTGTGGATCCAACTCTACTCGATCTCACTACTGATAACCTCACCTCCCCTGATGTCAACGAAACCACATCGGCGATAGGCACAGAGAACGTCATTGAGCTGTCCATAGCATCCAATGCAACAGAAGACATCAGGAGTTCCAATAGTAGCGAAATTTTGACTGAAATCGAAGAAATCACTGAAACGTCTATCGCTAACGAGACTTCCATTGAGATTACGGAGGATTCCAGAAAGTCTAGTAGCAATGAAATTTCCAATGAGAAAGCAAGACGTTCCAAGGACTCCAGTAGCAGCAGTTCCAACGAAAGCACTCTAGATAGCAGAACATCCAGGAGCAGTGGCGTTTCCTTTGAGAGCTCAGAAACCACGAGGACACCTGGCAGTGGCCGAGGCCTCCTTGACAGCGTAGAAGATACCGGCACATTCAACAGTAGCGAAGTCCTTGATGTGATGGAAGGAAATGTGATAGCCTCAAATTGGAGCGAAATTTTCAGTGATAATGGACGAGAGCTCCTTATAGATGATATTGATAAATTATTAGTTCTGAGCGCTCAATCGTCTCTAGCACCCGAAGTATCATCTAACCTAACCTTAAGAGATGAAGAAATTGAAGAAAATTCGGCTGCTGCGACGTCTTCAATACTCGAGGGCACATTCGAGGTTTGTTCTATGAAGATTTTCGACGAATTTTTAAAATTCATCCGAAGAAATATGAATCCATTCGAGTTTTGTACTTCCAGGACTCATTACCGAGAAAATAGTTCACTTACTACTGATAACTTGTAAAAGAAAATGTTGAAAAAATAGCTTAAGTTACTCTGCCATCTGATCAAAAAAGATATGCGGTAGTGCAACGGGCATCGCCTCCCGGAAACGCGAATTTTTCGCGCGCGGCAAGCCGCGGTAAAGCGAATTTTCCGTGATCAACTCGCGCGCTCTGACCTAGCGTCACACATCCAAAGTGCGCTAAATTGAATTCTATGAGGAGGAAAAGGATCGAACGACTTCGAATAACTGTATCCAAGTCGGGATTTTGGGTGGGAATTAAAGGATAAAGGATAAAGTTTTGATAAGGATAATCAATCCAGTCTGAGGGATGCGCCCCGCAATCGACGTCCATTCAAAATCGTAGTGACGTATTGAATGTGTATAAGACCTATACAATGACCTGTGGTGGCCAGCTGATGTACAAGTCAGTGTTTTTATCCTCCCAGACGAGTCTGATACCAATTCACCCACCCGGAGGGATGGGAGGCTTGGTTTACCACGGTGGATATCGATCTGGGATATACCGAATGTTAGTCTCGGCACGCTGAGACAACTATCTAAGGCAACTAGTTGGGACATATCACACGGTGAGATAACTAGTCAGCCGTTAGTTAGAGTTCTTTTCAACGAACCTGAGTGGCCACTGATGCCTCTTTCTGAGGGAGTCATGCATGCCTTAAGCGGTTGAAAGAATAAAAGGCAACTTGAGCACGACATTTCGGCTCCGCCACGCAACCACGGCTCAGTGGAGAACATCCG